GTGGGGAAAGTAAAGGAAATACGGCATTTGGCCAAGAATCGCCTAGGTTACCGCTGAGACTGAGGCGCCACATGCAGGTGCATAGCCAGCTGCATCTAACCCACCTGCCGGGGAAAGGCAATCAGAAGAAAAAGTTAAGAGAGCAAATTTTACCACACAGTCAGCAGCCAGAGTCAGTAGAACAGAGGAGAGGGTTCAGAAATTCTCTTAATTTTATGATTACAAGTTAAAATAAAAAAGATAGTAAAAAATCAGTACGGCTACACCCACCAGAGCTTATGAGGGCAGGCTGGCAGACGGAGGGAGCCTGTGTCCTACCCACCTGCCTTGTGGCCTGGCTTCAGCTGGGAGCTGGGCAGGCAAGTTTGCAGTAAAGGTTGCCTCAGGGAACTGCAGCTTCAGGACAATTAAAAATAAATAAGCAGGTTAAATATGCTTCTTTTACATTTCATAATTTTTGCTTCTTCGTCAAAAATCTGCTGTTTGTAGGCATGTGGATTCATATCCAAGGTGGATTAATTTCAGTTCCTTTGATCCTCATGTTAGTTTTTTTTTTTTTTTCTTCGAGACAGGGTTTCTCTGTAGCTTTGGAGCCTCTCCTGGCACTAGCTCTTGTAGACCAGGCTGGCCTCAAACTCACAGAGATCCGCCTGCCTCTGCCTCCCGAGTGCTGGGATTAAAGGCGTGCGCCACCTTTAGTGTTAGTTTTTAATCTGTCTTCAGTACTGTGGCTCTGTAGTGAAGTTTAAAGTCAGAGATTGTGATGCGTTCAGAAGTTCCTAAATTGTACAAGATTGTTTAGAATGAATTAGGCTATCCTGAGTTTTTGTTTCTCCATGTGAAGTTGAGGATTGTTCTTTCGAGATCTGTGAAGAATTTTGCTATAATCTTAACGGGCATTTGCAGTGAATCTGTGGATTGATTTTAGTAAGATTGTCATTTTACTCTGCTGGTTCTATCTTCACAAGAGAAGAGGAGATCTTTCCATTTTTTGATGTCTTAAATTTCTTTCTTCAAAGATTTAAAGTCCTTATCATACAGGTTTTTCCATTTGTTTGGGTAGAGTTACTCTAAGACATTTTATGGTATTTATGGCTATTGTAAAGGATGTTGTCTCTCATTTTCATATGTGTAGAAGAGGAGCATTTTGGGTTGTTTTCAGATTCTGTCTATGGCAAAATAATTCTGCTATGAACATAATTCAGCACATGTCCTTATGGTATGGCTGAACATCTCTTTTGTATAGGCCCCAAAACTAGTATTGTTGAGATTTAAGGTAGATTGTTGCCTAATTTTCTGAGAAATCGCCATACTAGAATCCAAATGGCTGTGCCAGTTTGCACTTCCACCAACAGTAGAGGAGTTTTTTTCTTTACCCCACATTCTCTTAAGCATAAATGCCAACAGTACTTTTAATCTTGGGCATTCTTACAGGGATAAGATGGAATCTCAGAGTTTTAATTTGCGTTTCTCTAATGGTGAAGGATGTTATCCTTGAACGTTTTTTAAGTGTCTTCCAATCATTTTAAGTTCATCTGCTGAGAGTTTTTAGTTTGGGTCGTACCATACTAATTACCCGAGTCCTTCGTATGTTTTTGGAGTGGATTAGTGATAAGTAAAGATCTTTTCCCATTCTATAGGCTGATATTGTGTCTTGTTGACTATGTTCTTTGCTACACAGAAGCTCCTCAGTTCAGGAGATCTCATTTATTAATTGTTTCTCTCAATGTCTGTGCCACTGAGGCTGTGTTTGAGAGGTACCAGTGCATTCACAGGTACTTCTAACTTTTTCTTCTGCCAGGTGTAATGTGGTTGGTTTTATGTTGAGGTCTTTGATTCATTTAAACTTGAGTTTTGTGCATAAAGATGAATATGGATCTATTTTCATTCTTCTACGTGTTGATTTTGTAATTAGGCCAGCACCATTAGTTGAATATGCTTTCTTTTTCCATTTTTCTATCAGCTAGGCAGACTTGCAACTTAAGAGGAGAATAGTTTATAAACTTTTGGTTATATATACAATGGTTAAAGCCTTAGTTATAATATTCTTAGGAGCTCTTGAGCCACCAAGTAAAATTCTTAAAGGGAGCAATGAGCCAGTTTCCAATAGAGAGCTTATAGAAGCTGCCAGACAGGTACTCACACAGGTGGAGTATAGATCAACAGGTAGAGTATACAATAATCAACAATTATGATTCAGCTACGGCAAGTGTGTATTAAGTATAAAACTTATTCTGCAGCAGTTTTATGAAAAAACAGAATGCTTTTTATGGCTGCACCTCCCCATTTTTGCCAGTTAAGATATTGATCTCTCAATTTAAAGCCGTAGCCTGTCTAATACAGGAGGAAATCTAGGAGCTGGTTTAGCAGAGAGTTGACTATGACCAATGTTTCTTATACTAAGCACTAGATTAATTGATAATTTAAGATAGTGATTCTTGGACAATTGTGTTTGCTCACTTCAAAAGCCAGAGTCATGGCCTTTTCCCAGATGATCGTTGCTGCAATTCGCACAACTATATTTCACTAATGTTATAGCTAAAGATCCCTTAAAGGATGTTATGCTGAATTTTACAAATGGCTCTTCCAATGGAGGGACCGCATATATGGTTAATAATGAAAAGGAATTGTGAAGCGTGATATGGCTCCTTGAAAACAACTTAAGAGGATCAAAGTTGCAGACAGATCTGGTATGGTGGCAGCAAGGAGACCTTGCTAGGAGGAAAGGTAAAAAAAGCCCTTGCAATGAATTATGAAAAGACCCAACTTATATTAATTTGGGGTTGAGGATGTGCTTGTGCTTTTTTCCCAGAAAGAAAATAAAGCTGGATGTGATGACTGCATATGCAGTAAAGGAGTGGCAGACCTGATGACATCGTAGCTGCAAATGCCCCATAGAGGGGTTGGAGAGGAGTTCCTTGGTCCAGTCTCCCCCACCCCCACAGAGAGGAGTGCCCGGTCTGCAGGACCTGCTGCCGCCACTCTGTACTGCAGGGTGCCGTGCTGCTGCTTGGAGGGACAACACTCGGGACACACACAGACCCAGAGGCCCTGCTGAGGTGACTGCGATGACTATAGTTTTCTGTAGTCTGAATCCTGTTTGCTTTGGAGCTGAAATGCAGACTGAATGTTTGACTCTTTTAGTCTTTTGGGGCACAGAACTCATTTTGATTAAAATATTGGACCTGAGAACTAAGACCCAAGCTTTCCCCTTGGAGAAAGAAAGACTCAAAATAAGGAATGACTGAAACCCCTCTTCACTTAAGAGGGGGCGGACTAAGGGTTTAACTGCTGCTCAGAGCCCGAACTGGTCCTGGATAACAGCAAGGCCACCGCACTCTCACCCCTCAGAAGAGCTTTTCCTGTCTTTTGATTAATGCGGATTTAAGAAAATTGTGACGTGTTTAATTGTGGATTTCGTGTTAATCACGGTATTGACCTGGTGATATTTGTAACTGCATATAAGATGTGGAGAAAAGTTGGTATTGACCAATAATGCTGAGAATTATGGTACTGACCTGATGATGTTTGTAACTGCTTTTAAGATGTTGAGAAAAGTTTGAAGCACCCTGTAAACGTTAGGATTTAATGTATATGTTAAGAATTTTAGATTTTGATACAATGTAAAAGACTTAGGAGGTATTCTAGATCAGATGAAGACACATTTTCAGCGCAGGCAATCCTTTCTCCTTTAAATAGGAGACTATAGCCTTTGGGAGCACGATAATTCATAAAGCATTATAGTTTATCCTGACAAGAAAGTATGGCTCTGAGAAACAGGGCCCAAAGGTATCTCTCTCCCCCCATCTCTTTTCTTCACAGAGATCAGCAGTCAATGATGGGTTTGAAGCATCTTGTCCCCAGATGCCTAAGACAGGAGCTTCCATAAAATGGAATGCCAGTTCCAAGATGACTAAATTTGGGTAAATGGGGAAGTCTTTGCCTAAGGAAGGTGTGATCATCTGTCCTGTTGCAGAAGCACAGGTTTTATTAAAATTAGTAAGAGAGAGTGGATTGTAGGCCCATATTTCTACATGGTATGACAACCAGAATCCCAGATCATAGTTTGCACCTGCCACACAGGTGGTCTGTCACCTCTCTAACAAAGGGTCAGGATGCTGTTCTGCTCCTTCTTTGTAATTTGGAGGATGCCTGAAAAGAGATGTTAATTCAGCCTACATGACAGAGCTGGCATACGGAGCAGGAAGACGTGACAGAGCAGGCACAGGTAGATGTGGACGTGACCATAGCCATTCACCTGGTTACCTAGGAAACAGAATGCTAATGAATTTCCCCTCAGTTTATGTTTTGGTATATAAGGCTGTTTGGAGAATAAATGGAGGAATTTTCAGGATGTGAACTCAGGATTTCAGGAGGGATCACTGAAAATCTCCCTCCCAATAAAGCTATGCGAGTTGTGTCTTTATTCCCACACCTCCCCTCTGGTTCGGAGAAATAATTTAGGGTCCGGGCTGGCACAGGACCCCGACAAGTTGTGGAGGTCACAAGTCTAAAATGGGTCCCTGAGGACCAAACTCAGGTTTAGACAAGGGTGCTTTTCTTTGTAGAGTTCAGAAGTGTACATTTTAGCTGCCCTTTCTAGCTTTACTATACTCTTTGAGACAGGGTCTCATGTTGCTCAGTCTGACATAAGCAACTATGATCTCAAACACCTCTTCCTCCTGTCTCTACCTCCCCAGTGCTGGGATAACAGGCATTTATCACCATATCTTGTGTGTGTTTCTGAACCCAGGCCTTCATGCAAGCCAGGTAAGCACTCCATCAAATGAGAAACATCCTCAGCCCAGCTTTTCTCTTTTATGTTAACAGTTGCTTACATTACTTGGCTTGTGTGCTCCCAGTATCTTTAAATCTACCAGCAACTCATCAAGTCCCTGTGCTGTGGGCTGTCTCTCCTGTCTCTCTCCCTCATTCTAAGGACCCTTGTGGCCTCACCTAACAATAGCAGATTAGGAGACAATGCTATCTGCCTCCTAGATTCACCTATGCAATGTAATATATTATCTGCCTATAGAGTCTAGGGGTTAGAACAGCATATTCTGGAGAGGGGATGGTCTTCTGTCCAACACATGGTCAAAATCAGTGACCAGGAGAGTCCACTAGCTGGTGGCAGGAGCAGAGCTGAGGCTCTCAGCGGTTCACCATGGCATGCATCCAGTCATGTCCCCACAGTCTCAGGAGGCGGTGCCCCACATTGTGACACAGGAAGCAACGGGGCAGGTGGCACCTGAGGATACAGCAGATGCCACTCGCCCAGCCCAAGCTCTCCTTTCACTTTTTATTTCGAAACAGCTTGAAACAGCATCTCACTAAGTTGCTTAGGTTGGCCTTGAGCTCACTTATAGCTCAGGCTAGCCCTGAGCTTGTGTCCTCCTACCCCGGCCTCCCAAGTATAGTTGTTGGTTTTTGTTTGTTTTTGCTTTTGTTTTCCTCTTTGCTCCCAAATAATCACATTTGGAATTTATTTATTTGAGTCTTATTCTTTCTTATAAATGCCAAGCCTTAGCTTGGCTTGTTTCTAGCCAGCTTTTCTTAAATTAGCCCATCTATCTCTTGTCTCTGGGTTTTTACCTTTCCATATACCTTTCTTTACTTCTTACTCTGTGGCTGGCTGCATAGCTGGGTGGCTGGCCCCTGGAGTCCTCCTCTCCTTCTCCCTTTCTTTCTCCTTCCTTTCTACTCTTCCTCTTTCCCATTTATTCTCTCTGCCTGCCAGTCCTGCCCATCCTTTCTCCTCCCATGTTATTGGCTGTTCAGCTCTTTATTAAACCAATCAGGTGTTTTAGTCAAGCAAAGTAACGCAACTTCACAGAATTAAACAAATACAACATAAAAGAATGCAACACATCTTTGCATCATTAAAACAAATTTTCCGTAGCATAAGCCAATGTAACACATCTTCAACTAATATTCCATAACACCCAAGTACTAGGATGATAAGCCTTTGCCACCAACTGTAGCTCTCAAACCCATCTCTGGCTCTGGCTGCTGGTTCTTGTTTTTAGGAGCTGTGCACAGGGAAGTGGAGGCTCTTTACAGACAGCCTCTTGCCCAAGCACATTCAAATTTAGAAGGATTGTGAATAAAATCAGGGGGGTTGCATTGCTTTGTCTTTGTGATGGGACTGGAGGTTCAACCCAAGGTCTTGCTAGGTATGCTTGCTACCATTGAGTGAGACACCTCAGCCCTCGAGTGGGTTGGACTTAATTCAACTGGCCATTTATTCAGTAACAGTGGATAACACTTTTCCAAGCTGGAGGGTGATCATTGGTGTAACACATTAGTTCAAAGAGTCACCTCTTTTTGGCTGAGTTCTGCTCTTTCATTCCAGAACGCGGGAGAGACTCTGGTGCAAAGATTCTTCCAGAAAGAAGGGGACAGAGGCTTTTTAAAAAGTGATGCTGTTGGACATAACAACCAAAGCTGGCTACAAAGAGCGGATGGATCTTCCCGTAAACCCGAATAATTGACTAACTGAGAGATCCTACTTCTCAATCAGATTAAATATTAAATATGCATGACAATTGAGGTCAGGTTCAGCTCAAGTGATGTAAACACGGGAAAGAAAGTCACCTTCCTCTACCACTCAGATACCCCTCCTCCTGGCCACGGAAGGGAACTCAGGCTGAGTGACCCTCACAGTCAAACAGTGCTGCACCTACAAGAAAACACTCGCCTCTGCTCTGCGCACACTTCCAAACGGGCATTTCTAGAATGTAAGATGGTTAGATCACACACCTTCCACCGCTGTGGACAGAGAGGTCCTGCCCTCCTGCAGGGCGTTAGGCATCTTCAAGTAATGAACTCCAAGTGAACTGTCCCATGGCATTCTAAATGGTCCCGTTGTTCTTCCAGGGATCCCTTGTCCAGGAATGTCCTTGAGATCTTTCAAACACCTCTTCAGCCAGAAACACAAGAAAACATGATCTTTCTAAGTCTCACTGAGTTGGTCAACCTTGGGTCCATTTTCTTGGGCACAACACAGTCATTGTCCCTACTTCCCACAAGGGACTTTAAATGAACTAACTTTGCGCTCACACTTAAGCCTTGCCTCACCTCCCACTGGCCTTTCGAACCCTTTGTTTGAAGGTAGATCTTGCTTGTTTGTTCCCCCACCCTTTCTCCATTCCTCCGCCCTAACAGCAAATGCCAGGTCCAGCCAATTTTCTCAGCAGTTCAGTCAGCGTACACTGCAGGACCAGGTTATTTTGCTGCAAGTGCACATACACCATTCTTGGAGAACTGTATCCAGGTCTGTACACAGGCCTGCATGCCTGGTCATTTGGGGTTGTCCCAGGCATGCCACCAATGTTGGTTTACCCTTCTGAATAGTACAGAGATCTTAAACCTGGTGCCAACATTCCCCAGACATTTTGAGTTTATTTGACTAGCCAGCACTCTTATACCTACAGGGAAAAAATGGAGGCTCGTGGTGAACTGATGTATAGAAAAATCTTTGTTCAGTGTTAAAAAACAAGATGGGGCTATGGGGAGGGAGAGGGCAGTTGGGAGGGAATCAAAGCCAACCACCCTGGAAGGTCATCTTGGAAAATTAGGAGATCCAATTTTGTTTTGTCTTTTTCTTTTGTAAAGCTCCATCTGGCTTTCATTTCCAACCTGGTGTCTCTTACGGAAAAAGAAGATGACTTTAAAACTAAACGTAAGCCAGTCTAGAAATAGAACGCAAGGCCCTCTCTTCTAGTCTGGTGGCAGAATTGGCTTTTACACTACTGAATGCTGCGTGGGCTACCTTTTTCTCCAAGCTGAGAAGCAGAACTGTGGAGCTCCCTCTCCAGATAACTCGTCTTTCTCGTGGACTCGAAAAGCCCCGCGTTTCCTGTTATTTGCTGTGGCTGAGATTTGTAACTGGAGCCGCTGCCCAGGGTTCCAGTTCATTTCACCTAATGTGGGTGCCCCACGCAAATAATCCGCCACTGCCAGCTCAACAGTTAGGGCTTGTTCTAGCCGAAGAGGAAAGTCCGAGAGGCGAAGGGCTTGGACCTGCGCTTTTGGTGGAAGCTCACTCAGTGTTTGGATTTCCAGTATTAGCGTCACCGCCATGCCACAATAAAAGAGGCTTTAAAATGGTTGGCTCATGTGGTAAGCTAGTATTTGTGAGTTCGTGAAAACAAGAGCCTTCTAGTTATCTGCGAGTCAGGCCGCTTGGGTGGCCGCTTCAGGTCTGCTTCCTGGGATTCCTTACCTGTGAGCTGGAAGAGCAGAGCCAAGGTTGACAAAGCCAGCTGGGAGTCTAGGCTTGAGGGTGTTGAGATGACTCTCCCCTCCTTTCTCCCAGTCATCTCTTTCCCAGGTGCTCAAAGACGGACATTCTCTTGTGATCATTAAGTTGAGTTTGCTGTGCTTCAGACCCTCTCCACTTTCTGTAAATGTCCCCCTGCCCTACCTCACTTTTCTGCCTACGGCCAGCTTCTAACACTTCACTTCATTGAACCAGACCCGCAGCTTCCTGCCCCAGTTACCCCTTCATAGATTAGATCCCCACTTACCTCACTCCTTGGGGGGCTGCTTCCTGCTCTGAGCTTTGTCTCTGTACCAGTTGTGGGGACCTGCTATGGGACAATGGTCTGTATTCTGTCAATTGTATTTTAATAAAACACCGATTGGCCAGTGGCCAGGCAGGAAGTATAAGCAGGGCAATGAGAACAGAAGAATTCTGGGAAGAAAAAAGATTCAGTCTGTAGTCCTCATCCAGACACAGAGGAAGCAAGATGTGACTGCCTCGCCGAAAAAGGTACCAAGCCATGTGACTAACACAGGCAAGAATTATGGGCTAATATAAGTTATAAGAGTTAATAACAAGCCTGAGCTAATAGGCCAACAAGCTTATAATTAATATAGACTTCTGTGTATTTCTTAGAGACTGAACGGGTACAGGACTGGGCAGGATAGAAACCTCCATCAACAGGGACCGTAGCTGCTCCTTCCAGCCTTGCACCCCATATTGTCTTCTCCCTGTATTCTGGCTCCTAAACCCTTCCCAAGGTGTTAACTGTTTAATGTCAGCTCTCAAGACAAAACACAAACATTTCTTTAAAACCACAGCCTCTCCTCTCTGCTACTCTTTTAGAGAATATCTTATTTATTGTATTTACGTGTGTGTGTGTGTGTGTGTGTGTGTGTGTGTGTGTTGGAGAGTGCAGGTGTGGAGGTCAGGAGACAACTTTATAGAGTCTGTTCTCTTCCTCCACCTCTGTGGATGCTGGAGAACGAACTTAGGTCATGGGGACTGATGTCAAGTGCCTTCACCTGCTGAGCCAATCCAGTGAAACTTCTCGAATAAGCTGCCAGTTCTCTTCCTCCTCGTCAGTGCCACAGACTTAGTACCATGGTTTCCCCATGGAGTTCTTGCCTGCCATTGTGC